AGAAAGGGAACAGGAACCAAAACAATCCTAGATGTGACAGAGATTGACAATCGAGAAGTCTAAAGCACAGTGGGGAAGGTGGAAAGAGAAAGGGGACAAAGGAGAGGTCCTAGAAGCCACCTCCCCCATGAGCCCTCCTGCTAAGAGGGGCTGGAGGAGAGCCTCGAACGTTAGGAAGTGCAGGTCCTGAGGGAGGGAGGTGGTGGTCGAGCCTGAAGGAGGACTAGGTCAAGGAAGGGGGGCCACCTCTCTCTTTGTAGGCTGGGACCCCCCACCTCAGGGGCAGCAGCTTCACAGACCGTAGACGCTTTCATCACTGTAGGCGATGTATAGAAAGAAGTCTTCTTCGTGATGTTCCTGGGGCAGAAGCAGAGAACACCGGTACTCACGCACCCGGGCTATAGTCACTTGAACCACCCACTGCCCCCCCCCTTCTCCAAAGACCCGTTCTCGAGGCAGAACCCCCCCCCCCCAAAAAAAAACTAGCGTCCTGACTCACTCCCTCACTTCAGACCGTAGCAGCCAGGCAGCATCACCCCTAGCAGCAGTCCTGGGCAAAAAGCTCTCCCTCTGACTGTTCTCTGCCTTGGAACGGGGAGGACGCTGGGGCAGGTGAAGGATGGGGACTGCGGTCCACCTCACCTTTCTCTCCCTTCTGGCCATTCCCACGGCCTCGTCCAAACCTCCAACCCAGGACTATGCTGAAATTCTGAGGCCGAAGATAAAGTGGAGAGCGGAGCAAGGCAGCTGGTCCAGGAACTGCTGACTTAGCACTTTCTTCCCCTCAAGCTCTCCCCACACCTCTCCGAAGCCTCCCGGCTTCCCCAGGGACATACCTGGTACAGCTGACCCATTGTGGCACTGGTGGGTGGAATGACATTGTTGACAAAGAAAAACAAGGCATCCTCAGCTCGGAGATGAATTCGCTTCCGAATCAAGAAGTAGAACTGACCAACTGCCAAAGAGACAAGGCAGGATGAAGCCAGAGATCACAAGTGCCCCCGAGAGAGAGAGCAGTTACAATGTGGAACCTTCTCCCACAAGAATGCCCGGCCACCCATAGGAAGCTAACCCGGGGCCTGGGTCAGGTCCCCACCTGTGAGATCAGAAGGCACCAGATATTTCTTCTTGTCCAGGTCTCCTATCCGAGCTTTGGGAGCCTTTTCTACAATCACCTGATGAAGGGTAGATGAAAATTAGGAAATATTAGGTGTACGGTCCCAGAGTTACCCCTGCCAAGAACTCGAGTAACACAATTCCCAGCACCCAAATCTGTCCGACTCCGTTTTCTTTGTCTCTGAACACGCGGCGCAGCCTTGAGCAGAGATCCTGACCCCTCTGTGCTGAACTCACCCAAACATTCAGGATCCCTCAGTAGGGCGTCATAATAAACAACTATCCTAATAGAGCACGGACGACTCGAGTGGGCCGCCTAGAGCTTCAGGCTCAGAAACCTGGCTAGCTCGGGGTAAAGACCATGAGCAGCTCAGGCTGTCAAACTCCCTGCAGCCTCGCACACCAATCCCCAGGTCTCCCTCTCCCATCCGTGTCCCCCCACCCCCAGCTCTCCCGCCACCCCGCTTTCAACCTCCGAGCCCGGGGACAGCAGGGTCGCGCCCGCCACAGCCGGCAGCCCAGTGCCCGCGCCGCCTGGCCGGACCCAAGCCCAGGCTGTGGCGTCAGAGCCAGCGCCCCGCGCCCTCGGCCCTGACTACCGTCCTCACCGGAACCCGGTCCGGGTATTTCTTTCGGATCTTCTCGCCCTCAGAGCGGCGCTTCTCGAACGGATGCTCCTCTTTATACACGAACTTCATCCTCCCGGGAACCGGGCTGGACCGGGCTGGGCTGAGGGAACCCGGGGGGGGCCGGGACGGGGGGCGGCGGCGACGGCGGCGACGCGCGGGCGGATTCAGCGGAGCGATCCCGGGACTTGCGCCACTTCCCTATTCACCAACCCCACCCACGACGATCCGGGGCCGCCCCGCCTGCTACGTTACGCCACCAGCGCAGCGGCCATAACGCCGCCAGCGTAGCACCACCCCCTGACCGCCCCCCCTCACGCCGTCTGCGTAATCGCTTTGGAATCAACTTGTGGGCTACGCAGACGACGTAGCAAAGGTGGTTGGCTTGTGCTATGGTCGAAAATAACCGAAAACCCACATTCTGACCTTCCCCCACGAGGCTGGGGATGAAAAGGGCTGCGAGTCCGTAACTGTAATTTGAGACTCGGTTCTCCGAAAGTTCTTTTCAGGAATAACGTAAAG